TATAGTGTCGAAGGTAGGCTTTAATTTGATTGTTTAAAGACTAGGCTCTATACAAACCACCCCCTTAAAATATAGTATGATGTTTTAATATGGGAAAAGTTTATATAGAGCCGAGGCTCTAAACAATCAAATTAGAGCCGACCTCAAAAATTTTATCAGATGACGTTGTTTTGATGTCCAAATATCCTCAACTTGATCATCTTGATATCAATATGTATCAACATGAGAAAAAAAAAAGAAGGATTTCAAGTTTTGACAATAGTGTATCTTATAATGCATTTTTTGATCGTCAATTTTCAAGATTTTTAAGTTTTTATAGATCTACTCGATCTATACTATTTTTAAAGCTTTAAATTTTATAACTAGAGACGAAAATATATTTTAAGGTTATCACAAAGATTTCCAATATTGAAACCATATTTTTCAATACTATTTGAAAGTTTGCTTTGCTTTCTAAACAAAGGGCACCCTTTTAACATTGGACCGTCTTTAAACCTTAAGAGTTGACTGTATTTAAACCTTTAGAAAAAGGGTGCTGTTTGTATAGAGCCTAGGCTCTAAACAATCAAATTAAAGCCTACCTTCAAATAGTATCAAGAAATGTGGTTTCAATACTAAAAATCTTTGCGATATCCTTAAAATATATTTTTATATTTATTTATAAAGCTTAAAACTTTAAAATAGTATAGATCGATAGATCTATGAAAACATGAAAATCTTGAAAAATTGATAGTAAAAAAATGCTTTACAAAATACACTATTTCCAAAACTTGAAATCCATTTTTTTCTCATGCCCATGTATCTTGATATCAAGATGATCAATTTGAAGATATTTGGGCATCAAAACAACCACTTTTAGTAAAAATTTTGAGGTAGGCTCGAATTTGATAGTTTAGAGCTTTTCCCTTCGAAAAATGAAATTTAAACAATATGGGATGGCATTTAAATCTTAAAAATGAAAAAAAGTTTAAATATTTAGAAAAAATGAAGTTTAAATAATATGGGATGGCATTTTATTTTTATTTTTTAAAAATATTTAAAATCCGATATTTCTAATACCAAACCAAATTTAACTTTAATTTTTTAAAAATTTAACGCGGTCAGATATTTCAAACGTCAGACTTATTTAAAAATGATAACAGTATCTTGAATCAAGAAAGCCCCTCGGCCTATCCCTAAACTTCAAAAATAAAGCAAAAAGTAGAATAAACACTAGTTGGAGGCAAAACTAAAAATAAAAATAAAACAATAGCAAGGGAAGTTTATATGCGGTACAAATATAATTCTTCCAATATTATACAGAATGAGGAAATTTCATCCCCTCTTTGCCCTTTCGACCCGATCAACCTCGTCATTGTGACATGCATCCATTCTTAACATCTTACTTCCTCATTAGAAAAACAGAAACGAAATTATCCAGTCAACAATTGACTATTGACTACAGGGTGGCATTTTCATTCCAATCAAGCACTTCAATATATAATGGGTGGGTTTTGTATACGGTGTCAATTTTATATTATTGAAATAAGGTGCACCTCAAAACTATGTTGAAAATGTAATTTTAATTTTGGTGTCGTAAAATTTTGCAATGATATGAAATTCTATTGTTGTTCTCAATTATGAAATTTAAAGTTCAAAAAAGGGTGATGATTAAACATATCTATAAACATTTAAAAATTTTAAAAATTGTGGCCCAGATAATGGTTTAGATGGTGAACAATTTTTAAGACTAGAAATATTTTAATCCCATCCTTTGTTATGCTTTTTGCCTCTACTTCGTTCAAAAAAACACTAAAAAATAAGGTATTCCATAGACTCAGCGAACTTTTTAATCGTAAAGTCCACGTGTTCCCCAAACTTATTCGAGCTATTGTCCTCCTATATCTATAGTTTATTATGAACTGTTTTCCCTTCCCATTTGAGTTCAAAAATTCAAAGTAAAATGAGAACAAGATCTCTCTCTCCCCTCTCTCGCTCTCTCTCAATCCACTGTGCGGTAAAAATCCAAATTATAAGAGGACCTCCATTTTGCTTCACCCACCACTAGGGCTGCCACTGTGCCGGGCCGGGCCTCATAAGCACCAAACTACTTTGGCCAGTCCCGGTGAGGCTCGGGCCGAAATTTTCGCTTTAAAAGTCCGGAATATGCTAAAATATTTTTACTTTTTTTAAAAACAATGGCTTCTAAATGGGCCAGGCCGGGCTTTTATTTGGATAGGGCAATATCAGGCCGGGCTAAAATATTTTTGGGCTTACCAGGCCGGTCCGGCCCGGTGGCAAGTTTTGGGGCTTTCCGGGCCACATTTCGGGCCTTGCCCTCGTAAAAAAGTAGCATTCCTGAGGCCCAGTCCAAAGCCCATAACAGGCCCTGCTTTGGTCCAAGAACGGCTCGGAATCCTGGTGTGGCCCTGAAGCCTAGAGGCCCGGACCATTGGCACCCCTACCCACCAAAGATGAAAGGCTTGTGCAAGCTTTCTTTAAGACTTTCTATCGCATAGAATATTATATCCTTCTACTTTCCTTACTGTCGAACACAAAAAAACAAAGGGATAGAAATACAAAAATCCATTTAAAGACTTTGACTTTTGGGGTTTTGTCAATTAATTATAAGGTCAATGATTGTGAGTGAAGTTTAAATCCTTCTAATTTATATCCTATTTGCATCACCCTCTCCCTAAGCTCACTTCCTTGTCCTTGAACCATCTCATCGGCCTACAATTCTCCCTACTTCTTTGTCCTTGAACCACCTCCCCTGCCTTCAATTTTTTCTGGTTTTCTTAAGTAGCCTGGATATTTCAAGGCTCTTAGCTCTGTGCTACAAGCCCACTTCATAGCCATCACAACCTTTTTGTCACCTTTTCCTCATTCAAGCAAAAGCCATGTCTATCATCATTAATCCCCTTGCCGAAATTGCAAAAATTCTGGTCAGTCCCCTTATTCGTCAGATTGGATACCTCATAAGCTCCAAATCAAATGCCAGAGATCTTGCACTTGAAAACGAACGACTTAAGGCGCGAAGGTCTGATTTAATGAGAGAAGTCGAAGCAGCAGAGAGAAATGGGAACATGGCCACGAGCGAGGCGCAGGTGTGGTTCAAAAGAGCCGAAGATCTGCAAAAAGAGGCCGACAAAGTGATTGACACATACAATGAGAAAAAGAGTTGTTGTGGGGGGGGGTTTGTGCAAATTGCCCCTCCAACTACAAGCTGGGAAAGAATGCAGCAAAGCAACTTCCAAAAGTCACAGCTGACATTGATGGAGCGAATTCAGTTCATTGGACCATGGATGCACCACCACAATTGGGGCGAGAGATGCCTATGGCACCATTCACAGGTCAGACATCCCTTGAAAAGAATGTAAATGAGATCTTAAATTTCATAAACAATGATGAATTGTGTGTGATTGGCATTGTTGGTATGGGTGGAGTTGGTAAGACACCACTCATGCATCATGTTAACAATCATCTTTTAGAAACTCAATAATTCACTATATTATTGTGGATCACAATATCAAAAGAACTCAATATATCAAGAATACAAAAGGAAATGGCTCAATAATTGGGTTTATCATTAACCGCTGAAGAAGAAAATAGAACAGGAGAGAAGTTGTTTTCAATTTTAAAGAGACAAAGATTTATGCTCATCTTAGATGATTTGTGGGAGAAGTTGGATTTGAAAATTATAGGAGTTCCCCAACCAGATCCACATAACAGATGCAAGGTAATAATAACAACCCGCTTTCTAGATGTTTGTAATGAGATGGACACTGATAAAACTAAGAAAGTCGATGTCTTAAATGTGGAGGATTCTTGGAACTTGTTTCATAAGATAGTAGGAGAAGTGGTAGATTTCCCAACAATAGAACCCCTTGCATTGGAGGTAATTGAAGAATGTGGTGGTCTGCCACTTGCAATCATCACCGTTGCTTCTGCAATGAAAGGGAAGAGCAGCATTCCCATCTGGAAGAATGCTCTGAGAGCCTTGCGCGGGGCATCACCAGAAATAAAAGGTATGGAACCCCAAGTCTTTCGATCATTGAGATACAGCTATGAGCTGTTGGAGAGCCAAAGCATGAAGCAATGCTTCTTATATTGTTCCTTATTCCCCTAGGACTACGCAATTTCGAAGGAGCAGTTGGTAGAGTACTGGATATGGGAAGGGTTCATAGGTGGAGTGGACAGCATAGAGGATGCAAAAAACAAAGGCCATGCTCTTATTGAAAGCCTGATAGACTCTTGCATGGTGGAAAGGGTTCCTGGAGATGATACTTTGGTGATGCTTCATGATGTGATCCGGGATTTGGCAATATGGATCAGTTCTTCCTCAGGAGAGGTCGGAAAGTTTGTCATGGAAGCTGGTTTGGGTCTAAAAGAAGCACGCAAGGGGAGAGAGTGGAAAGATGCAGAAAGGATATCACTATTTCTGAATGAAATAGAGAGACTTCCAAATCGGCTAGAATGTTCACTACCCAACACTGATACTGCAGCAAAACAAAACATTGGTGAACATTCCAGATGGCTTCTTTCAATGTATGGTAGCCCTCAAGGTGGTGGATCTCAGTTTGACTAGCATACACTCATTGCCTATGTCTTTATCAAATTTGAAGAACCTTCGTTGCCTTCTTTTAACATATTGTGAGGGGCTAGTTGACATCCCTCCCCTAGGGCAGCTCAGGCAACTCCAAGTGTTAAAGTTAAGCGACACCGCAATCAAAAGATTGCCACAAAGGTTAGAAGAATTGGAAAATCTAAAGCATCTAGACCTGAGTGGCACTCGCTATCTTCAAATAGTTGAGGGTGGAGTGATATCGAGGCTAACTTGTTTAGAGGAGATTGACTTGTACAAGAGTGGATACTGGTATTGGAAAGTGGAAGGGGAGGAAGGCAGTGAGAATGCATCCTGGGAGGAGTTGGAACGCTCGAGGAACTTAAACACACTTGGTGTATCCATCAATAATTCCCGAATTCTCGACAAACCCAATGCTCTGAAAATATTTCGGAGTTCAAGAAAATTAGTACT